GGTGGCTTAAACAGCAGAAATGTATTTTCTTACAGTTCCAGAGACTGAAAGTCCGAGATCAAGGTGCCCCTAGCAGGGGTGGCACCTGGTGAGGCCTCTCTTTCTGACTTGCAGACAGCTGGCTTTTCAATGTGTCCTTTTCTCTGTGAATGGGTGGGGGGCAGGGGAGGAGAGATATCTCTAGTGTCTCTTTATCTTTTTATAAGGACACAGGCCCTACTCCTATATCTCATTTAACCTTAATTATCTCCTTAAAGGCCCTGTCTCCAAATGTTAATACCATCACAGGGGAGTTTGGGTCTTCAACATCTGTATTCTGGAAGGACACAATTCAATCCATACCAACCATTATATTGGATCATTCTGTGGAAATCTTTGGATTACACTGATCTTTTTGAAGATCTCATAATTATTTAGAAATGCCAGAAACACAAATGCCTGCAGTGTATTTAGACCACACTACAACTGAGATAAAAATCTAGCATGGCCCATTCAATGCAGAGGAATCAATGATCCTAGAAGCAGGAACGCCTTGGTGGTACAATGTGCTTCCTTGGTGCTGCCCCCATGTCTCCAAATAGAGAAAAGAAACGTAACAAATTCCCAACATAATAAATGGGAGGAGTCAAACCTCTTTGTTCATTTCAACCCAAATAAAATCAGTGAGACACACGTTTTTCTCTAAGATATACCATTAACCTGAAGAGATTCTCTTTTTCAGCCAAATTAGCAGCCACTACTTTTGTAAATCTTTGTTAGATCCTGTTGCTCAGCAGAGTGAGCTGTCAATAAGTATCTATTGCTGATGATAATGACAATGATTGTGATAGTTATGCTTGCATACTTTGTCAACAGGTCCTCTATAGTGCAAGTGGGTTCTTAGCAAAGAACAGAGACACTCTTCCGACCGATATCGTGCTACTTTTGAGGTCTTCCGAAAACAGTGTCATTCGACAACTAGTCAGCCACCCACTGACAAAAACAGGTAAGGCGATTTCCTTTAACTGAGATGTTTCCTCAAGCCCAGTCCAGTGGTTTCTGTCTCTGATTTCCATGAATTTAATCCTTGATTTTTCATATTCATTTATTTGCAACTCACTACATATTCATTAATTAATATCCTCTCCCCCAGAGCATCTGAAGAAAATATAAAAATAAATATAAAGAAGCTAAGTTTTCATTAAAGATAAGTGCTTGTAGCACTCACCCAGAAACTATGGCGGTATCCTAGCTAATCACTAGAAGAGCATAGTCACCTCCAAAGACTTCAGAATTGCATACCGTTTTCAGGAGTGGGCAGCCTTTGGATGGTTGTTTGAGGTTCTGAAAGTTCCGTGAGCTCTCTTAGTGATAACTTCCTCGCCCTGATAAAGGGCATCTATGAAAAACCTACAGCCAACATTATATTTAATGGTGAAAGACTAAATGCTTCCCCTCTAGGATTAGGAAAAAGACAAGAATGTTTACTCTCATCACTTGTATTCAACATTGCACTGGGGATTCTAGCCAGTGCCACCAAGAAAGAAGAAATAAAAAGCAAACATATTGGAAAAGAAAGGGCAAAACTCCTGTAAATTAATGATCCCTATGATTTCTAAGGCCCATTATAAAGCTTAGCCTGCGTTAAAGAAAATCTCAGATGCCATTTAACACAAACAAAAATAAGAAACAAGTTGCTTCCTTCATCATAATCACCTCATATCTTCTAGCAAATTCAAAGGAAATCTAACACTTAACCTCTCCCTTTTCTATTTTCCAAGCTAGAGGGATTTTATAAATTTAAAATTTATTGCAAACTTTTACATAATATTATTTTGTCCCTAAATGTCTCGATAAATAGTTCACCAAGCGTGTGAGTATGAATACTGAGGGATCTACAATGGTTATTTTAACATTTAAGTAAATGGGAAAAATCATCTAGCCATTAAGGATCCTAAAGGGTATATTAATTTTTTCTACATTCCCATAGGTAATCTGCCACCATCTAAAACTAAAAATATTATCAACTATCAAATGAAGACTTCAGAAAAATCAATCAACCTGACAAAGGTAAGAAAATGCATTTTTTCATGGCGATGA